TAATGTGTAGGTGCCAGGTGGTCTGCTTATCTTCAATTTTACCTTTTTCTACAACAAAGAATGTGGGAAACATGGGGGGGTGGGGGGCGTATCAATGAGGCGGCGGGCATTTGATCGGCAGATAAGGTGTGGGGGAAACTAAAAAATGGCGGAAAATTGGAAGCACTTGACTTAACGTTAGATCTATAGATCGAAGACACTTCCTTTTTTCCGGACCCGAGTCCAAATAACATTTTTTCATATTCGGACTCGAGTCCAAATAAGAACTTTTAAAATTCGGACTCGAGTCCGAATATGAAAAAATGTTATTCGGACTAACGACGGCCAAAATTTTAATCTTAAATGGTTTATTAACCGATCAAAATTAAGAAAAAATAAACCTAGGGTCAAGTGTCAAGGCACTACGTTCCTTAATAAATAATTGTGGGTTCTGTTAGGGATAACAATTAAACATGTTTTTTTTGTGTTACAAGTAAGCAAATGCCAGTTCTAACATCACAATGACAAACTATTACTAACATTATTTCATTAAACAGCTTTCAGTTAAGGCTATTATTTTTAAAAACATACTACTGTGGCAAGTGAATTCCTTTCTGAATTTAGAATATATACACTTGTCTTGGGTTTTGGTGAAGATATACGTGCCTCAAGATTTTTAAAAATGAAACAGTAACAATCTCCGCGGGAGCCTAGAAAAATCGGCCAGCACTCTGGGGCAGGTCAAGAACCTCTTACAATTCACAAATTATTTTGTATCATCTGTTCTCAACCCACCCAGGTAGGCCTAAGAATAAAAATCCATTGCATTCTCAGCCCGGGGGAGAGTAATACTATTTTATTCTCACTCGGGGTGAGAATAATTATTCTCACCCTGGGTGAGAATTAAAATGGATATTATTCTCACCCCGGGTGAGAATCTATTATCTATTTGTGGTGGCTGAATTTTGTTATTCAAAAGGCTTTTTAATGGCTGCATCGATCGACATCTGGTTTTTGCCAAAAGATTCTTTAAAATATTCTCCACATCATGAAGCCTCTCGTTTTTTCAGTTTTGAGACAGTTTTGCTGCAAAAAGCTAAATTTCTTTATTTTGCCGATCGCTTTTGTAGGCTGACGCTTCTGTCTCTGTAATTTTAGAAAATCCGGAAGTGATATTTCGCGAGGCGCATTTTGTTTTGAGAGTATAGATCTAGACCTTATAATTTTTTGCATCTCTCAAGGTTTATTGCCCCATTCCAGTAGAGTGTAAATATAGTAGGCCACTTCCTTTTGGCTATTCTCACCCAGTGTGCGTTCACCATGATAGCCTAGGCCAACCAGTGTAGCGTTCACCTTGAACAAACATTCCAGCACTCTTGTGTTGAAAGCATGCAATTTTGTCTGTGGGCAGTGAGAAAGAAAGAGGGGGGGGGGGGGGGGGAGAACTTCCTGGCAAAACAAAATGGCGCCCCGTGTAGTTCGGCTCGATTCGAAAAGTTAAATAGCCGTAGCATCTTTGTAGACGACCAGATTAGTTTACTTTTGTGTTTTAACATCATTTTTTATCTTTGTTTTTGTCAATTTGATCGTCCACTGCGATAGACAGTATTCAGAGAGAGAGAGGAGTAGATCTTGCGAAAACTTCAACTAACAAAAGCACATTTTTGTTTTACCCATTTTAACGGTTTACAGAATCATTGAAATCTCTAAGTATTCTTAATCACTTTTGCGACCTTCTCGTATGCCTTGTTCAATATCAGAACCCAAAGAAATAATTTGTTTTTCATTTAGAGACTGGATGATTAATGATGTGCAAATTCAACCTAAAATGACAAAACAGTGCTGGGTTTTTAAAATGCCCGCTGTAACTCATCTCACCAAAAAAAAAAGCAGCAAAAATAAAAAATAAAAAAAACCTAATGAATCAAGGGACACAACTACTGTAATAACAGGCATTGAATAACATGCTTTCCCTTTTTGCGATTGCTGAGAGCGATCGTGGGTTGGTAAATAGTGTAAAAAGAGTGTCCAGAAATTGAAAGTGACGTGGGTGTCGGTTTGGGGGTTTTTCGTTTGAGGCCTATCAAGGCTGTGTCGGTATCAGTGGTCACTGAATTAATGTATTACAGCATCAGCCCTGATAATTGTTCAGTACAGTGGAATCCTGTTATAACGAGAGGGAGGGGACCGGTGTGAAATGTCCGTTATAGCAGGATTCTCGCTATAATGGATCCAGTAATAAATCCAAGGGAAATAGTAAAGTAGGCCTAATCTATGAGTTAAGTGTTCTGTTTATTCCTTTTTGTATTTCCCCTGATGATGATTTTGTTCAACTTGATTTCTAGGTCTTACTTGATCAAAAATCGAATCAGGTTTCTTTCTCTAGCACTAGCAATGTTGACAGCTCGGCGTTGGCGATCAGAAAGAAGGGGCTCTGGCTCTAGGCTAACTCACCCGCTGTGTTGTCCCCCACCCCACCACACCCTGTGGTGCGTTACGTCTGCTTGCGCCAGTCACACAGTCACTCCATCTATCACAGCATTGTGACCTCTCCATCCCGCACCAGAGAAATGAGAGGCACGGTATGCCTAGATAAACTAGACTGGGCTGGCCTATCAGTATCACGCGATGCGTTCTGCGTGTCTGCGCGTGCCACACCCTCTCCTCTCATTCGCTCCGGCCTTCCATTGTTGGTTTGCATGGGCTCTCCCATTCTTTGTTTCGGGATCACAAGCAACTTTCTCAACTGGCGAGTTGTTTATATATGTTTAATTGATCTGTGCGCTGTGCACATCATCATTGCTTTTCTCACCCTGGGGCAGGATATAGGCCACAAACAAACACTCTCCACCTTTCCCTATCCTGGGCTAGTCGCTTGATGTCACTCCACGTCTTCCCACTTTTCTGTACATCCATTTCCGTGACTCTTCTCCAGGTTCCACGAGGTCTTCCCCTTGATCTTTTACCCCTGCAGCTGCTTGACTTCCTGAGAGTGCGTCCAATCCATCACCAACGTCATCTTCCCCCCTCATCTCTGAACGGGCTCTGTCTGGTTCTTCTTAATACTTCCTCGTTGGTGATCCTGTCTGTCCATTTGAACCTCAGCAGCCTCCTCAGACACTTGTTCAAGAAAACCTGGATCCTCTTTATGCACATATGGGATGCAATCCACGTCTCACATCCATACAACAAGACTGACTTCACATTTGAGTTGAAAATTCTAAGCTTTGTTTGTAATGAGATATCCGTGGTCCTCCAAATCCTGCTCAAAGAAACAAATGCAGGCCTATCAGTATCACGCGATGCGTTCTGCGTGTCTGCACGTGCCACACCCTCTCCACTCATTCGCTCCGGCCTTCCATTGTTGGTTCGCATGGGCTCTCTCATTCTTTGTTTCGGGATCACAAACAACTTTCTCAACTGACGAGTTGTTTATATATTATGTTTAATTGGTCTGTGCGCTGTGCACAGCAGCAGCAATATTCCGTTATAACCGGCATGTTTGTCTGATGGCGCAATAGCAGTATTTTATTTACAAAGATAAAGAAGGGAAAAAACGGGGGTTTTAGAACAGTGTCTTTATAACAGACTTCTCGTTATTTCAGGACTCGTTATAAGTGGACTCCACTGTACCATTCTAAGATTTATAAGTTATTAGTCAAAACTGTTCGATCCCAGTCATTTTTCAATTTTGCTCAGGTCCCCTCATTAATGATGACACTCTCGTCCTCCGAGGTAGCTAATTTGTGCACCATATTTTCTTTTGTTTTTTCTTTGAAGGTATGCGTGTGGCAATATGGTTTGGTGTGTTCAACAAAGATATGTTCCAGAGATCAATCGAGAGTGGTTGCGCGTATCGTTAAAGAGGTAAGACACATATCTTTTTCATTGACAAAATGTGAAAGCAGACAAAGCAAATAATTTCTATATCATTGTTTTACCTTTTCAAATTTTATTCATTCTTAATCTTTGTGGTTGTTGGCAGGTGCTCTGGTGTGATTTGCTCCTTCTTTCCTATCAAGATCTATCATCCTTCTCTCTGTAACGCCTCTAATCTTTGGCACTTATATGACTTTATTATATATTTTGTTGCAAGTGCCGTAAGACTTTCACTCAAACTAATCAAAATTCTTAGTCTTTGGTCATCATATCATATTGTGTTAAAAGTTATCTTGGTTCACGATTTTTCTATTCACATGTTTTTTAGAAATGTCCCTGCCCTCATTCATAAATATTCCTCATAATCTTTCAACACAAGGCACAAAGAAATGCCTGATTTTATAGATATTTGTTTCATAGATTGTCTTTAAAAGTTTTAGTAATGAGTTCTCTAGTTTGAACAGTTTTTTTCATGTTTTTCTCTTCCAGAGGATAACAAGTCAATGCACCATTGACTCTCCTTAGTCAAAATGTGTGATGCAAGTGAAGTGCATGGCCTTTTCTATTTCCTTTTTTATTTTCCTTTAGTAATAGCACCTTCAACTGACCACACACTTTATTGTTATAAAGGTCTTTAAAGTTCTTTGTTTGTTATTCAGTTCTGAAGACGAAGAGCTTAACGTGTTTGATGTAGATCTATAAGACCATACTTCTTGTCATTCTGTAAGGCTGGTAAACTGACCCATGTCATATTTCTCCGTGGTGTATTTTCTTCATCCCGCTATGGGGCATTTTATTAACCCTATCCGTATGCCCTGGGGTCATTTTATACCCCTAGGATTGTATTTTTCACATTTTAGAATTCTTCTAGTACAAAGATCTCTTTGACACTTTCAGTATTTCTCAAAAAATCATTTTGACAGACTGCTATGTAAAGCATACGGATCAGATTAACGAGTACATTTCCTCTTTAAAAGTGGTGGCACAGAGTTCCCCAAGTCGTATGGATACGATAGTAAAACACGGCGTACGGATAGGGACTGTTCTATAGGGTGCATTTTGTGAAAGTTGTGATATTAATATCATCACAGTGAGTGGTTGACGGATGCTCTGGTGTGGTTTGCTTCTTCTTTCCTATAAAAAGTCTGTCGTCCTCATCTCCCCTCCTTCTTTTTTATGTTTGTTACTCTCTTGTAATACCTCTAATCTTCTGGTGCTCATATGACCTTATGCAGTTACGAGCACCGTAAAACCTCTACTAAACAAACAATATCATCACTTTGTTTTAATTTTCTGTTTTCTATTCTTCAGAAAATTTTGCCTGCTTTCAAAGAACATAGAGTTCCTCTGGCCTCAGAATGTCAGTTTGCCACAGACCGAGACATGTACATGGTTCACGAGGACAACAAGATGATGGAGAACACTGGCCGCTGGGCCTGTGACTTCTGCGGCAAGGCCTTTGTCTCAGAGTATTTTTTGGATGCTCACTTTGGGAATCGTCACTCTGAACACATTCAGGTTTTTTTAAATCTTATTTTTGCTCTTGGATTTGGGGTGAATTATAAGGGTTGAGTGCATAGCTGAAAAATGTCAGGGGTCATCAGAGTCAGCAGGATATTCACTTTACCTTATCTGACATTACTTTCTCCTGTCCTATTTTTTAGGGGGTTTTTTTATTCGATCAATTTGCATATTCAGTTTAAACTTTATTTCTCACTTTTGAGTAACAGAGCAGCACTTAATAGCAAAATTTCTGAAGTGATTTATGGTTATCAAAAAGCTGGAAAATGACATGTGAAAGATATAACAAAAATCAGCTGCAAGAATGTTCTTGTTTCTCCGTCCGCCTTGGTCCCAATGATGGCTGCATTGTCCATCTGTTCTGTGCACTAAATGTCCAACATTCCTTTCAACGTGATAAAACTAGTATATCATAGTCATTTGACTGCAGTATAGTATAAGATTTCATAGCTGCCACTTTCCCGCTAAATAGCGGAAACTCCGCTTCTTCTAGTTTTTCCCGCTACTTTCCTCCTTCCTCCGCTGGACCACTCTCGGTCGCAAATTGCGATACTTTTTTTTTTACACGCGGAAAACACCGAACCGGGAGAGAGACGAAACGCGGCTTGTGCATGTCCACCCGTAGTTTTCTACTTCCGCTCCTCTTGGCCTAGCGCTAGTTTCACATTGTTTATTGTGGAGCAACACAGTGTCGATCGAGCATCGGGACGTTGGCGCGCCGAGTTGTCATTGAAAACGGTGGAAATTCGAGAGAAATTGATGCAGAATGCAAAAATAAAAGGTGCTGGAATATGAAAGAAGCAGCCGGTGTTCGACTTGAGCAATTCATTAGAAAATTGAACGAGCGGCTTGCTGCCCTTTGCGTTTGGTTCAATAAAGTTGCGGCTTGCGGCTCTCCTGTACAATTGCGGTCCCGTTTGTTTACAGGACGGCTATTCTGGCTGTGACCGTGAATCTAGATCTAGATAATCTATCTCTAGATATAATATAGATCTACACATATTTAGATATCTAGATTCTAGATCTAGATTAGACAGCCTAGGCTATAATTTTAATTCAGTTTAGATCTCTAAGTAAGAAACACACTACAGGGGCACTAAGTGCAAACGAGGCCGCAATTGTATAGGAGTTCAGAAATCGCTCAGTACAGCAGCAAAGGTGTTGCCTCCTTGATCCAATACTGCTCTACATCGATGTGCATGTTTAAAGTGAAAGAAATCTTTTAATGAGACACCAGCTGGCAACAAACACTGGATTTTTAGTCACCAAGTCGACCAAGTCCAAACTGTGTCAAATTGACTCAAATGCTTGTTAGTCAACTTACTGCCTTTTTTTTTCTCAAATACATTTTAATTCAGTTGCCTATGGTTAACAAACATGACAGTTTTCCCTTCCAAAACTGTAGGCTAGATTTTCTAGTATATTGCCTCTGGATCTCACTGGTTTTACTCCGGCCTTAGGAGAGCGCATGTACGCCTTTGCGTGAATTTCCTCCTTTTTTGAAATTCCTGAGTGGCAGCTATGGATTATACACATTGCAGATTCGCTCAAAAAAAGAAAATAATTCTTTTGTCTACAATTCAGAGACAAAGTGAGTTACTCTGGCCACTGCTATTTGCTATTCATTTAGATCCTCTGTTCACACTTAAGTGGAGATTTAGAAGGAACGGCAGAGGTGTTGTTGTTTATTCCTTTCAATTTGACGCTGTGCTTTATTTCTGTCTGGCTTTCCATTCTACGCAAAGATGGTCACAAGTCCCCTTTTTCTTTTTGTATGCCTTTACACGTGGTGTCTTAGAGGCCAACTTTAACTGAAAATGTAGTCTTCTGTAGCATAACTTCCAACCCGTTCAATTTATCTTGGCAAGAATCAGTCTTTGACCTCTTCTCTTCCTCTCACTTTGTGGTGTTTTCTACAGGTCTGAAGGACATGCTCATCTGTCTGTGGGTGGTTGGAGGGTGCTCGGGTGTGGTTTGCTGCTTCTCTCCTATGAAACATCTATCGCCCTTCTTCTTTTTATGTTTGTTACTCTCTTGTAACACCTCTAGTCTTCTGGCGCTCAAATGACCTTATGCAGTTGTGAACGCCATAAAACCTCTACTAAAACTAAACTCAGCTGTCTGGTCAGCTTCTCCGCTAGAGCGTTACAGTCCAGCGTGCACTTAGTGAAACATGCACACAGTGAACAGTTTTTCATAAAGTCCAGAACAGGGTGTCCAGCAAAGCCGTATAGTCGTAAAAAAGCCGTAAATTCGACGCCCTGGTCGTAAAGGTCGCAAATGGTAGTAAATTTGTCTCGAAGGTAGTAAAAATTTGGTAAACGGTCGTAAATTAGCCTGCATACTGAGTGATGAAGCCAGCAAGACTTTTCAGTGAACCCTAGCCTTGGTACATGACTCCGTTTTTGCAGGTCGCGATTGTGATATAATTATTCGTTCACCTTTTCTCCGTCCGAGAGTACGTTTCACGCGAAAAGCCGGCTATGGCGGCAGGTGGAAGTGTATGTGACACCGAGGCTCGATCGGGAAAATCAAGATCTACTTTCGCTTTCGTTACCACCCTGAAATTTGACGAAGATAAACTGATAACGCAACATTTGTAATATGCAGGTTGTACAGTATAAATGCTGTGTCACCATGCAAACAAAATTTAATAATTACTCGGACCTTTCACTGTGCTGTCACTTGTGTGGATGGGGGGGGGGTGAAAAGAAAATACAAGCTTTGTCCGATTTTTAGATTGTCGGGTTCGCCAGCGTGACAGGTCAGTGAACCTTCACTACAAGGTACGGCATCAGTGAGCACCGGCGTTTGTTGGGGTCGCCAAAGTTCATTAAAAAGTCGAGCGTTACGATGTATAGGACTACGGAATAGGGCAGGGATTATTGATTTTTTTAAAGAGACACTCGGGGGAGGGAGGAGCGGATGAAGGCAACACCAGAGGACAAAAACTGTAAGCAAATTTCAGAATTTTGATTAGATTTAGAGCCCTCTGCAAAGCGCGCGTTGGTGCAGGCCTTGTGTGGAATCGGGATCCTTCATACCTTGTAAGCCGTGTTATTGAAATAAAGTGTTCGCATTTCATTTGTTGGGTGATAGTAAATTAGAACAATACTGTAGCTTTCTGTTCAAGACTGGCAGATTTTCAGTGCCACTGCCTCTTGCCCTCTCACAGTTCTTACACCTCTCACACTGAATAGGTTTACTCGAGTCATTACATGTGTGTGTGTGTGCGCGCGTTGTTGTTGTGTAACATGGCCCTGGAAAATGGAGAAGTCGGTTTGGTAGTCACCCTGTGTGTACACATTAGGTATAAATCTACCCTCCCTCCCCCTCCCACCTCCACCAAGGCAGTGCTACTGACTGAAACGTCTTTAGGCCATTCCCAAAGGGAGGATATTAACATGTTCTTATGCACAGTAGAATTGTAAATGGGCTGATTTATCAATGTCATGCTCATACTGTGCTGGACCCGCGTAGAGGACACTGCTGCCTTTTCTGTCCTCTTCTTTACTATCGTCATTTTCCTCTACTTTTTTTTGTATGTTTGTCGTACTTGTGAACTACTATTTCCGGGGTGCCTTGATAGTCGAAGCTTGGACTTCTCTGTTGACATCCACCCCTTGTCGCTCATATCACCTATGCAGTTGCAAGCGCCGTAAAAACCTTACTAAATCTAAATCTAGCTGCAAGCAAGCTTGCGATCGTCTGTCTATCCTCCATTTTGTCGACTGGACTTTGTTGTGTGTTCTTTTCGTTCCATATGTTATGTAATAATAATATATATGTTATTGATAGCGCAAATTAACTCCCTTTTTCGAGCTGGTGTGGGGCTTGATTTGCTGGGTAGTAAATTTTTTTCCAGGTAGTAAATTTTTTCAGGAAATATTGCTGGACACCCTGCAGAATTTTGGTTGTTTAGCAGGTGATCTGATGTGGTTTGCTTCTTCTTTCCTATAAAAAATATATTGTTCTTATCCCTCCTTTTATTTGTTTGTTACATACTATCTAGTACCATTTCAAATCTTCGGCACTTATATGACCTAATTGTGTTGCAAGTGCCATAAAGCTCTTACTAAAACTAAAAATATCTGGGATTTTCTATTCTTTGTATTTAAAACATTAGCAAAATTCGTACATTACAAGAAAAAGATTAACGTGTCGTGCCAATTTTTAATTTTTCTATGTGCCTGCTAGATTGTATATGAATAGCTAGACTAGCTTAAAACAATTATGCATGTAGTATGTCTCTCCTTGATTTCAAACAATCAAGTTTTTCTCTGCCAACAGAGTGAGAATGCTCTGTGCCTGGCTGACGTTTGCGACGTGTTCCGCTGTGACATTGTGTCGGGGGCGTCCACGCCTGACTACTGGGACATTGCATTGTGCATGGAAGATGATATGAAAGATCTGTTCTCTCAGTGTGAGGTATGTCTCTTACTCAAACACGATGAAACAAATGCTTTGTTTTCTGTTTGGTTTGAAAAAAGTATACCATTGGCTAGCTGTTCAGATTTTACTAAGCCCAAAATATTGAATTAAAAAAAAAAAATTCAGTTTTTAAATGTGCTTGTGAAGTATTTTGTCAAAGTTCAAATTCTAAATGTTGAAAAAAAGAGCATTAAAAAGATTCATAGTTCATGTACTTAAAAAAAAAAAGAATGAAACAGTTTTTTCTCTATCTTAAAAGTATTCCTTTCTGGGCTTAGAACAGTTGACCAGCTTGCCAACGATACCAATTCAGTGTGGAAAACGTAAAGGGTGTACTTGTAAATGGCAAGTTTGTCTCAATGTCTAGTGCTCTGCGTTATTTGCAGATCAGTGAAAATATTTCCTATCAGAGATTTTTCACTTTTGTTTTCGTTGTGGTGATCTCCATCAATATGAAAAAGGTGACCCACTACAATTTGCTAGTTTATCCATTATTCTCACATTTGCCTCAAAACCACCTCTGTTTGGCAGATTTAATATGTAGACTTTAGATTCTCTTTTTGTTTAAGTGAGTGCTTTACGGCACTTGCAACACAATATAGTCATATAAGTGGCGATAGTTTCTCTTTGACACTGTTCTCTGCATGGGAAAAATACCTTTGAACGTTGTGATAGAGTAAGTTTGTTTACCGTTTTTTGTTCATTTTTTATTTTCTTAATCCAGGCACTTGTTGATGAGTGTATCCCAGCAAGTGTGACAAAAAATCAGAGCAGATCAATTAAAGGTAAGAGAATTTTTGTTTTCGACAACCTGTCTCATAAAAAATGTCCTTAGAAGGAAATACAGTGGCGTCTACTTAAAGCCAAATCTGTGAAACTGCTGGGTTTTCTTTGATTTAGCCAGATTTTCTGTTTAGAAATGTTGCTCGGATAGAAGGAAACCCTAAGAATACATAACATTACAACTGAAAGAGCTGCGGAGCTGGCCTACCATAGAAAACTACATCTCCCCCCGACGCTTAACGGCAACTGAGGATGAAAAAGTAAAAAAGTAAATGTAAAGTAAGCTCGGATAGAAGAGAAAAAAAGCTTTTTGCAGGTTAATGGTCTTCATTTTAAAAAGACTGCTCTGTTGTATAGACTAGAACGTAAGTTTTGCAGAGAGGTTTTCTCTGATAGAACATCAGCTATACATTGTGCTCATTACCATCAAAGGAAATCATAATTAATGGAAACAGATGTTCCCACTGACCCGTGGGAAAGTCAGTGTCAATTATTTTGAGTGATATCATTGCTGTAGATCTTTCTATTTTATATAAGCAAGAGTGATTTAATTTTCTTACTTGAATGATTTTTTAAACTTGACTGTTTTGAGTGAAGTTGTTATTTTCTGTACTTGTTTGGGGGGCAGATTTAGTCAGTGCTATGGAAGTTAAACCTAAGATTTGTGGAAAGGGGACTAAATTGTCCCTTTTATGACTAGATCTAACAGTTATGCTCAAACGACATATTCAGTTACAGTTATGCCTTTAAATGTCCTCTTCTTTTTAAAATCTGACTCCCACCCTTTTCGTATTTTTATAGCCTATAAGGCTTTCCCTGTTTTATATTCATGGAATGAACACACGCCCGACAGACTTTGATGTACCTGTACTTAATATTTATGTATGATAAAAACAGAATCATTATACAGCCAACAACAGTGAACTGATGATTGAAATTTGTTGTCTGTATCGCCGAACTGGGTTGGGTACCCTGAATATATTATAATATGCAAATGGTAGTGTGAAACTATGGCAATGTATTTAATTTGAAGACATAATTGTTGATGCTCAAGCTCAGCTCTCACAGATAAATATGTCTTCTAATGAAATAAATTGACATAGCTTCGCACCACTTGATATCTCTATGATTTGTCATGGTCTCAGGTTGCATTAATTTTTTGACTGTAAGTGTATGAGTCATTCAATGTCTTTTTTTATAAAAGTTTTATACACTATTCTCCTCACATTAAGTGAACGCTTTTTTTGGGGGGGGGTTTCTTTTCAGACACTGTGGTAGAAAATGTTTGTTCTTTTCTCACTTGCATGAAGTTTTGGAACACTCCTATGCAGCAGGTAAGTTTTCTATTTTTAAACTTAACAATGGTAATGGTGGTAATATGTTTTGTTAAATGCTCCCTTTCAGCAGTGTAATTTCATTTAACCCTTAACTGATTCCGTCCATGATTTTTTCAGGCTCTGGACAATTATTTTTCTTTGTTCAGTTTTAGACTTGGGGTGCATTTATTTAATGCATTACTGTGAAGCTTTAAGTTACTCTAATATGTATTGTCATATACCAAAGTGGTGGGAATCAATACAGGAATTTTTTTTTACCGATAACAATGACCTATAATCTGTTTGTATTGTACTTTCCGCCATACAAAAACAAATGAGGGAAAAAAATTGCGCAACACCTCTTCGAAAATTTCGACTTACCGCATTTTCTCAGCTCTACAAGTCCTTATAATCCATAGGAATCAATACAAAATTGTAGCGATAACACCCTAGCACACATTTATGCAAGAATTTCACAAATTTAGTTGAATATCTTTCTTTGAGGGGCCTTTTTCTTATACCAGGCTCTGTGTTATGTACCCTTAGATCTAGCCTACATCACGACAACAAAACAACGATTTTTGCAAGAATTTCGCTGAGTTTCTATCGATATTGGCGCTCAGAGTTTGAGGTCAGGTTTGTTTACAAGTTCTACTTCCTTTCGACAACGTAAAAAGTAGGAACTAAGTTAAAAAGTGCTCATTTGTTTCGGATTTTGTTGAGCCGCTCACAGCGGTCGAATGGATGCAACGGAAGAACTCGGAGCGGCTGTCAGCGGCCAAATGGACGGAATCAGTTAAAACCCTGAATTCTTGTTTTTCCTACCTCCCTAGAATCCTAAATTAAAATCGAGATACTAGAAGAAATTAGGTTGGTTCATTGTTTTATTTACTGTGTCTTTAATTGTTGTTAGAGTTTAAAAATGTTATGTGTATATATATATATGAATGCACAGTCTGGACAAAGGGGGAAAAGGTTAACACACTGGTTTTTAGGACCAACTCCATGAGTAAAGTCTTGTGCGTTATCCCTGACTCCTTTTCAGTTAAAGTATCATTAGACCCAGCGGTAGATCTAGCCTCTGGCAGCTGAATCATCTTAAACATATTTGTATTTTGGTCAGTTCTTGCATATTAGAATAGTTTCTGTACTTAATTTTCCACTTTTTTGTGGGTTTTTTTTTTTTGGGTAACGATAATATTTTCTTTCCTTCTTTGTGCAGGAGGAGAGCTCCCACATGGCTCTCTACATCGTGCTGACCACCATGACCTGTTTTGGCATCATCATCTACAACTTTGTTTTTTACAATTACTTCTTGTAAGTTTTTTTCTTTAAATGGTGTCTAATCGTGAAAACTAGAAATATCTTAATGACGACCAAAATAACAATTTAAAAGGCTGTACGTGCAGTCAACTCTTTTGTACAGCTGTAAATGTAGAACATTTACAAAAGATAGTGAAAGTAAAAAACAGGCAACAGAAATGGTGACTGTTGAGAATTTTGTGGAAGGGGGGGGTGGGGGGGGAGATCAATTGAGGTAATGCTGAAAAAAACCCAGCTTGGGGCTCTCATTAATAAAAGCAAAAAGGAAAAGACAAATGAGGTTTCAGGGACATTTGAATTAACATAATGGTCTTGAACATCTTGCTCTCACTGGAAATACAGGAGGCAAAAGAAGTGAAAAAGTAGAGTAAGAGCAAATTATTTACTTGATCAGATGGGTGATGGGGAGAGACCAGGTTAACACTTTGCCCCCATGGGACACCGATCGGCGCCGGTGTGATATGGCGTGTACCGCACCTGTATCCTGGTCCGTGGGGATAAGTGTTGCGCGCTGTGTGGGTGGAAAGTGTTAATGTAAGTTTCCTGGGATCATCTGTACAGAGACATGAATGTCGATCCATGATTGCCAATGTCTGTTTCAGACTTGGCACATGATGATGATATTGGTCCTGTTTTAGAAGTTAACGAAAATACACAATTCTTGTTTGTCAAAAATACTTGTAAGATATTTCTTGTCTTTAATTTTCACCCCTTCTTTCTTCTATGATGTTCTTGATACATCACGAAAATGTATAATTTTAAACTTTTTGTCGTACCATGGACATCACAGAAGTTGGCAAATTTGACATTCCTGGTTTCCTAAAAGATGTTACTTGAGTGCCCTGTTAGTCATCTGGATCTAATTCTTCTGTACGAATTAAGCTACAAGCACAGCATGGATTCGTATTTAGGAATAAAAAGTGCACCTATCAATACCAAATTTGCTAGTCTATTATATATTTGGCAACTTGGAAACACTCACTTTTCCCATAAAACTGCGACAGCTACAGAGTTGAAAGTTGGCATGTACCTGCGAAAAGATAGATAGGTCCCCATGACGGAGCCCGATTTTTGATTATTCATTTCCTGAATTTAGAAAAATATATTTGACAAAAAGTTCCCGTCCTTCTTTGATCTTTGTGATTATTCTGCTAAGAAACAAACAAATCTGCGTAGCTCCAAGAGACAGGGTGAGTAATTTTTTAGAGTCACCTGTAATACGTGGAGACGTGATCCATTGTATGCCTCCAAAGAGTTGTTTTTGATATATGGCCCGAAGAGAAAAACTTTTTAATTACAGAGTCAAGATTTTTTTTTAAAATATTTTTGTTTGGTCGCTAGCCTGTAGAAGTGCCAGGCAAAGTTTCGTGGGCATAAGTGAATTTGTCAATGAGCTAGATTTTTCTTTAACATTGTCAGAGGAAAATGAACAAACTATAGACACTGCCTCTGTGATTTTGAAGACGTCGGTGTGTTCCTTTTACAGTTGTAGATTTTCATATATCACATAATGATCTTGCTTGTTTGTATTTTTTTAATGGCCAAGATATCGTGTTTTTTCTGGGTTTGCCAAATGTGATATTTGATCCAATAAATATTAACCTTCTTTTTCTTGATGAGACTGAAAAAATGTATCTGGTTTGATGTGTTAGTGAGTTGCATTCTAGAAAGTATATTAGGCAGCTAGCTGTATGAGTCAAAAATGGTTTCTCAGTCAAGTGTGAAAACATTGTAAGTTTTGGGAGTGTAAAAAATCAGAAAGATTGTCATAGCAATAACATAATTAACAATATTAATGGAAAGCTGGAAAGACAGCTGCATTTCATGGTGTCAAAGATGCTAGCTTCGGCTCAAGTAAAACTTTCAGTTTGAACTGTATACTGTTAGGAAACCTGTCCTTTTCTTTTCATTTTTACTTTTTGTGTGATGCCCTCCTTTTCTTATTCAGATTTATTCTTGTGAATTTCAGCTCAGACCTCTCACTAGAATCCACATATAACCCACCACCCCAGAAGAGCAAAAAGAAGCAAACAATGTCTCCCTACTCTGAGAGTCGAGAACCCCCGCGACCCAGACGCCCTCCTCCTCGACCCAGACATCAGCTGTAGATCAAGTGCTTGAGAGTTTCAGTCTCTCGCTGGTCGCTCAGTGGACGTGTGTGTTTTGAGCAGCACAACCCCAAGCTGTTGGATTGATGAATGGCTACAAAGGCTGGTGTACTTTGTGACAAGGAAAGGAAGTTCTTTTTCTATTGTGTGTGGGTGAAGCATTAACACTCTTTTCCTCCACATAGTGTTATAGAGGAGAGAAAAATTTATCTCCAAACTTTAAATTTAAAGAACTAGGGATACATGAGTATTACTTCCAGGCTCAGATAACATGAACATGGATAACCCAAAATATCAAATAGCCCATTCAGTTGACCATTCCCCCGAGTGATATCTCATTAATTTTTCACCCTACATTTTACCCGAACTATGGATGTATTGAACACATTTGTCAATTCCCTGACGTGTTTGAGTTATCCATGCCCAACTGTTCAATGATTGGATGGATTGTTGTGGAGTCTGTTCCTGTAGTTTAATCAAAGATTGTACATTACAAGATGGTTTGCCCCTCTCTTTGAGGTACCGAAAAAAAATGTGTGCAGTAATGCCAGTGGCAACGTACATAGTATTGCCCGTTGGATGTTTGTAATTTGTAGGGAGTTATGAGTTTTGAGTACACAGTGGAGCAAAATTGTGCTACCAGAACTTCTACTTGAGATATAAAGTCAAATGTGGTATCTGCAGCAGTTGCCACATCTATCGTACATAGATTGTAGAGGATGATTTTTAAGGGAGTGAAGTCTTAAAGTATCCAGTGATTGATGTTATTCAGGCAGGATCAGCTACTCTGGTATTGTCATATTTCCCACCCCCATAATGATTGTCAGTGTCTTTTATGTTCAAAGTAATGAGAAACAAGGAGGTGATAATAGTCATTTTGTATTTATAATAAAAATTTGAGAGAGATAAAAACTGCAGACAGGAAGAAGAGGCCGAGGCAACTGATCCTTACACCTACAACTGACAATGTAGCGGGGACTCACGGACTGTCATTAGATCTATTTCTCTCTTTAATAAATAGCCATATTGCCTTCTTTTACTCCTCCTTCAGTAATAATTGGTTTTGGATCAGGTTTCATGCTGAAAAGAAATTTTCAAACTGTAGTAACTTTTTTGGTAGACTACTAGTAAATTATTGTTTGTTTTATTTTATTTTTGGAGGTTTCTTTTTTTTTTTGGGGGGGGGGGAAAGAGGGTTGAGTCAGATGTGTGAAATTGATATGTTTGAGTTGCCATGTACAATAAGAGTATGTCTGTTACATATGGTTTTCACTATGCAGTTTATGAAAGTTGTAAAAAGTCATTCCTACCATCATCAAACATATAATGTTGGAGAGTCTTTTAGTGTCATTACAGTCAGTCAGTGGAATATGTCTTGTGTTTTTGCCTTTTTGTGGAAAGAGAACAGTGTGAAAGAATAATTTCTTACTTTTTATGTTACTGTAAATCTTGCATGAAGATGCTTGTGGATGTATGCTTTCATATATATATGGAAATAAATGTCGGTGTGCCTTTGGGAAAAGTGTACGTGTTATAGTTCATGTTTGGGATGAGAGGGAGAGATTCCATATTTTTAAGATGAATGATTTTGTGTAATAGCATGCAGATGTGCCAGGTTGTAGATAATACATTTGTCTGTCCTTATACAGTAGAAACCTGATATAACAGGGATGGTGGGACCATAGAAAAAGTCCTGTTGTACCCAAACCCTGTTAAATCAGAAATGCAAGAGAAGTAAGCATTTGTGGACCAATCCAGCTGTATTTATTCTTGGGTAGTTTCCCTTGCCACAAGTACCCACGAACAGGGGTTTTGGCATTGTGGCAGGCCTGCGCATGACACATTACATGTGCATGTTGCAAGGCTTGGGAATTGATCGAAGTCTGGGGAGCGCTGCGTGTGCTTGCAGTGGCGTGGTTTGCATGGGCTTGCTCCATCACTGCACTCTCTCTCTCTGTCCCTCTCTGTCTGTCTGTCTGTCTGTCTGTCTCTCTCTCTCTCTCTCTCTCTCTCTCTCTCTCTCTCTCTCTCTCTCTCTATCTATCTCTCTCTCTCTCTCTCTCTCTCTCTCTCTCTCTCTCTCTCTTTCTTAATTTGTAACACATTGTTGACAAGCTATAACCGACTGGGTTCCGTTGAGGCCCTGTTATTACCGATAACTTTTAATAGAGACAAAGAGTAGGAAGATACAGGGATTTTAAAAATCCCTGTTATTAACGGATCCCTGTTATTTCCGGGCCTGTTATACCTGTATATATGGTTTCCACTGTAATTGCTTTGTTTACATAATCTCTTAAATGGATAGAAACACATGTACAGGCTGTAGGATAACCCTTCATTACAACTTTGCCATTGTCAAATCTTTTATGCTGCATAGCAGCCCTTCGGAGACCAAAGGATATGCCCCCCCCCCCAAAAAAAAATAAAAAAAATAAAAACCAAATGGACGCTATGGAATGATTCAAAAGATTAAATTAATTATCAGTATGAAAGGTCAGTGACAGTGGTTTGGTTTGAGCAGAGAAATACACTAACGATAAAACCTTGTCATGTATTGCTGGAACAGAACAAGACCAGCTGAACCAAGAGGCAAAGAAAAGAAACGAAACTTCACAGTTCCCAGTGGTGGCCTCCAACCACCCAACAGTGTAGTACTAGGAGTAGGTACCACAAAGAAAAAATTCTAATTGCATGAAAATAGATTTTCTTTATAAATTGGACAGGACGTGCTGTACCATTCAAATTCATAGAAAACGTAGAAAATTCCTTGCAGCATGCAAAACGAGAAAAAAGCAGGACTTGGAACAATCGCACAGTCAGGTAGTGACAATACACATCATACAGTAGAAATTTACTACATGTATAGTGGCACCCGCTGCTGCGGGATATATCCCTACAGCGAGACCCTCCGGAATCCCCCTTTTTTTTCTATGTAAACTCAATTACCTGTGCTTGGGTTGAACAGGGCAAGGAAAGACCTGAACTCGGATACAGCGGAAGTGATCGACGAGCGAGCTCTGGCTGGGGAGAAAAGGGGGGGGGGGGGGGGGCTGTTACAGGCGGGCTTCAAACCTGCAGTCAGCGGTGCGGCATTGTGGTTGACCAGTCGAGTCATCAGTGAGTGAGGTGGGGCAGGCGGCAGAAAGAAATAGTGCGGAGAGACGCGTTACGTGAGCCACTCCAAAAGTGATATGCCATAGACTAGACGTTCAGTATGATAGCGTATCTATCATAGCCCTAGGCTTAGGTTAGGCCAAAAAGTAAAAGAAGAGGAGAGCGTGTAGTGTGTGATTCCTGATTCATTGAATTGCGATCTTTGATGCTCAGGCATACGCACGCATCCACTTCATCGGTTCTAAAGTAGGCCTACCGGTGCGATAGACAGCAAAAGCGACAAGGCCGAGGAAAAGAAGGCTTCCAACAAAGACAAAAGGAATTAATTCTATTCACCCGAACTAAAGACCGAGATAATCAACGAAATTGACTAGAAAAGGAAGACGGATCAAAAGCGCAAATTCTATTGCAATGAAAAGGGGGGGGGGGGGGGGGGGGGTAATCGTGTGGCTTTTAAGAAACTTTTCGGTAATTCCCCTTTATATTCCTGTTAGTGCTGCGTATCACATGGACAGCTAGAAAAACGAATGAAGAAGTCTTGGTTGAAGCACATTACAGACGACAGTACATGACAAATATACGAAAGCGACAGGCAAATTTCACTGGACACAGAATAATATGCGGAAAGAAGCATCGGAGAATATTAAACAACAGCGCAAGTTTGAAGGAAAGATAGGCACTGGCATATAATTCCGATTACGTAAACCCATAAAATTGTATGAAAATGGCTTTTCAGTGAACAATTTTTGCTTACTACACCACAGAATGCCAATATTTTGTCCCCGTCGTTTTATGCAAGAAAAGTTTGGAAATTATGCAAACTGAGCCCAAAAATGTGAAATTATGCGATTCTGTTAATTAGAAATTATGTAAAAAATGATCAAATTTTACTAAATTATGCCGGGTGCATTAAACCACGGGGACGGAATATTAGAGGCATGTTGTTTGGAAAGTTTTTATCCTGTACTGTAATGTCAAAACTTTGTGATGTTTTTTATAACATAGGACAAAGAATGTTTGAAGTATGCCATTGTGAAAATAAGCAAATGACTCATTTGGCACCTTGTTAAAAAGTACACGCAAAAGCACAACTTTTGTAAGCAAGTGTAAACTTTCATAAAATGATAATTATTACAGACGTGAGACTGATATTTCATATTTTAAATTTTTTAAAAACAAAATTGCCGTTAGATTTAACATACAAATACTTTTAAACGTAGAAAAGGGAAAGTTTACAGTTTACCATTACTTTCGTAATTTTGCTCACACTGGTATTGGTATAGATCTACTCTTCCACATATTCTATTGATAAACGTAATTAGGCTATATGTGTAACTTTACTGAATAACAATCACGAAATTAGAAAAGGCTCATTACTTAGTGTAAGAATCTAGCAACTATTTTTCAGAGAACAGCGCAAGAAACACTCTTGTTATGTTGTTTATTAGATCTAGCGCACAAACGCTCAGTCTAAAGCGCCCGACTAGGCAGACATCTGGTAGGGAGAGGCACAAGTGGTTCGGGCTTGGATCGTCAGTAGAGATCAGATACGAACGTGTCACAGTTATTCCCCTACCCCCCCCCCCCCCCTTCCATTGATCAATTTACAATGATAAGTTAGTCATGACATAAATCAGCGTAATGAATTGCGCACTGGACTGTAGAATCAAACGTTGCCATATGCCAGGCCCTAACCAACAATATAATTTATTTGTTCGGCAAACCGTACGTTATAGATGATAGATGACACAGGCGTGCCTTTGAATGAATCGGCCCTTTTGTAATGTCTAGTAAAGTTCAGCGTATTTTCTTAGAATATTCAAGCATTTTCTTCGGTATGGTTTCAAAGAAACGTCTCATTTGAAACCAAACTACTCAATACATTATACATTACTTGCTCGGAGGCTGTAATGATATACACAAAAACTTCATGCTTGCTATAACGAACGCTCGGATTCAACGAAATTGAAGGTCAGGACCGACGACTTCGTTGAATCCTAGTTCCACTTCAGAGACCGGCACACCTGTGGTTGTGTTGTGTGTATGTGTGTCTTTGGGGAGGGGGCACAAGCGGACGGGCGCTGGACGTCAGTAGAGATACAAATGCGCCTGTCATTTTCCACTCCGATTACTAATCAATATTACAATGATATGCTAGTTTTGACTTAGGTTTACATAATGGATTGCGCACTGATCCGTGGAATCAAGCATTGCTGTTGGCTTTACACTACAGCAACACAACTTGTTGGGTGAACCATAGATGACACAGACGTGCATTTGAACGAACCGGCCCTTTTGTACAGAGCGTGTTTGGTAGAGTTCAGTGTATTTTTTTGGGGGGGAGGGGGGGGGATTTTCCAGCTTTAATTTCGGTATGGCTTCAAAGACACGAAAATGCCTCTCATTTGAAACCAAACTATTTTTGACTGAGGAAGTCGAAAAGAGGCTAAAAAGTAGACATTTCAGGGTAGCCTACAACGTTACTTCCCTTTACCCTTTATGCATTACTTGCTTAGTGCCTGTAATTATTTATATAATAAAAACCTCGTGTTTGCCATAACGAACACTCGGATTCAACGAAATTGAAGGCCAGGCCCGACTATTTCGTTGAATCCGAGTTCCAATGTACCAAGGTGTACAAGCCACAATTTCAGGCAGCTAAGCCTCTCTTGGTAAGGGCGAATAAAATTATGTTGCCTCATGGTTGTAAGTCATTTAAATCACAGCTAGACTTGCTACACACGAAAATAACAGTTGTTGATACTGATCTGTTAGATGAAATCAACGCAAACAATGCTGTAATAAGTGAACACCCTACCATTGATGGGAAATATGAATGTGCCTATTTCAAAGACAATGTGCTTCCTTGCTGGCACATTTTAGGGTATCAACACGCTGTGAGCATTTACTTCTTGTCAAATATTCATAAGAGATTTAACAAGCATACTCTCATGAATGCGTTGGATTTTGAAGTGGAACCACTGCCATCATCATCTTGCGCAATTGTGATTCCAAACTAAACAAGCATCAACTTACCTGCAGAAAAGATGTGCTATTGGAACTTTTACTTTCAAAGGAACTGATTTCAGTGGGGGTTGTGTATGGACAGGATCATTTTAACAGAAGAGTGGAGTTTCTAAACAAAGTGATTGGGTTATGGAAAGATGGAAAGGAAATCAGACTGCCTCTCTACGATCAGTTGATCCAACCTCTGTAGATACTGCTCCACCATCGCCAGCTGCCACACCTTCACTCTCTGCTCGTCCTTTGCCAGCTGCCCCTACTATTACTATCCTAAAACATTTCAATACAATGAGGCCAGCCCGAGGTCCACTTAAATACAAACTTAATAAAAGTGCATCTAAAAATATCTGCTTTCCACAAACAAAACTTTTATTTTCCGCCAGCACTTTTTATCTTGATTCTACGCATGACTGCCTCCTTTAAAAACCAAATACCAAAACATAGTTAACTCTACAACATTAATAACTCTTGTTGGGACACAAAACAGCAGCATTAATCAAAACCTCAACTCTTTCAGAATTAAAAGACTTTTGCCTACCGTAAGAAATCATAACTTTTCCAAACTTTATTATACTCACTCAATGTAATATGCATAGCACAAAATTACATCAGAATAAAGTAAACAGATTTTACTGCACTTGAACTTCACATTATTAGTGGTGAACGACAGTGTACAGCCCTCAGGAGAAAGAATGAGTTGATACTTTTTAATAACAATGGCGAAGACAAAATATGACAATCAAACTCAGGCCTTCCATGTGCGACAGCTAAGTAATTTCAGTGAGAACTTACGGATCAATGAATGTGGACATTGATGATCAGAGATAAACAAGATCACCCATTAGCAAGCTGTTATCCCTCACAAAGTCAGTGCCTGCAAACCCATTTCAGTGTTGTACATCCATTTTCATTATCACCAGAAATCTAATTATAAAGATATCAGTCTATATGAGCCTTTTTTCCTTTGATATACGGGAAATGAAAGGGCAAAAATCTTTCGACAAACGCATTTCAACCTCTATAAATATAAGCTGACAACAATTAACGTCCAAAACATCATCGTGTTTTAAGCCAGCACACAGTCAATATCATTGAAGATACATCATGAAGGTCCTACTTTGCTCTACACTGACGCTCATCATGATGACAGGCTACAGTCACCAGCAGATATTGTGTAAGCGAAAGAACAGGGAATGTGAGGTAAACTTATAGGCCTACATAAAGAAAAATGTAACATTTTTCTCTTTGTTCATTACACAAGCTAATGATTTTACCTCTTTAAAGAGTTCTAAAATGTTAGCAAAGAATCTAGAAAGTTTACTCAGGCCCAGTTGTTGTTTTTTTTTGGGGGGGTGGGGAGGTGGGGGAGTGTTATTGTTGTTGTTGTTGTTGTTGTTGTTGTTGTTGTTGATGTTGTTGTTGTTGTTGTTGTTGTAGTTGACGACGTGCTCCAATTACGAATCCTTTGTGTGATTTACTTGGCTTCATTTTGCTGGACCCTGCATCTGTAATGTAATGGTAAGGCACATCTCTGTTGAATGTACAAGACATGAATTCCTCAAGCGAACCAATCATTTTATTTTGCATATTTCAATCCATCTGCTGGGATGCTGTATCCCACCAAGTCTAGGTTGAAATATCCTGCTTCCTACAAGATCTAAATTGTATCGATATGGGTGGGTAACTTTTATAAATGTGAAACTGACATTAAGTTGGGGGTTACGTTATGAGTCGACATAAGATGAAATGGATAGGACAAGTCCTGCTGCCATCAGTATTTCAATTTATGATAGTTTTTGAGGAATCAGGACAGAAACGTTAAAGGGTCAGAAAAGGGAAAGCCAAGATTTCTTTTTTAAAAGTAAGTTCCCAGAAATTGCGTGGCCCTTTGGATTAAGAAATTGCCTCTTTTTACTTGTAAGAATAGTCCAAATGGAAAATATGGAACCACTCTTCAATTTTAAAATATCCAAGACAATTGTTTGAGAAATTCAGGAGCTTCCAACATGTACTTAATGGATCTTTTAAATTTACTTTAAGGTACAAGTAAAAGATATAATAATAATAATAATAATAATAATAAAAATAATAATAATAATAATAATAATAATAATATAATAATAATAGATAGCATTTGTATAGCGCATTATGTTCTCCCCTCTAATTCAAACAAATGAAATGTGGCCTTCACTATTCAGGTTGGGAAAAACCAGTGCTGCAGAGACTTGGTCTGCAAGCAAAAGGATATGACATCTTTCAAAACAACATGTCAGGCAAGCGATACAACATGCAGGGCTGAAGACCAGACATGCAACCCAGACCGCAACTCCATATGTTGCCCAGGTAACTTAGTCATTGCTTTCCTAGTTACTTAATTACACTGTCTCAACAGAAGTTTGCCTGATAAAGTTCTAAGCCCTTTCAGCACAGTGTACCTTTTTCAAGAAAAAGAAGAGAGAAAACTTCAGACGATTGTGTTTGGTTATTCTGAGAAAAGTTCAACAAAAGGAAATTGGTGATTGGATAGGTTTTTAATCCAACTTTCAACACAGTAAGGTTATTGAAGAGGTTGCTCTTAATGTTAAGCCCTTCTCCCACAGGACTGAGCAAAGTAGACAGAAAACTTTGAAGACTTCACAAAGAAACGAAATCAAGGAACGTTCAAGGTGTTTCAAACCGGGGCCATCCATATCTTTTCTCCTGGACAAAATAAACATTTAGCCTGGTCCTAAAAAGTATGCAAATTTTCAAGTAGTCCAAAGCATAACATTCTTACAAGAGTTATACAGTCTCAATACTAACAGTTACCTCCAACAGCTGGTGGATTATTTCAAATTTCTCCCCTCTTCTATATAATATATCGTCGGTGCTCATGAGATTAAACGGACTCACTGACTGGTGTGATGTGTCATTTGGGGTGAGACAAAACTGTGTGGTATCACAGTTACTTTTCATCATATACATCGACGAAATTACGAAAGAAGCAAACCCCAACCCGAAAGACCTGAATGAGATGCTGTTCGCGAACGACCAAAGCCTGGCATATGAGAAAAAAGAACAACTTCAAGTACACATAGCCTGGCTGAATGCACAGTGGGAAAAGCTCAACATGAAGATCAACAAAAGCAGAGCGGAGACGGGGTTTTTTTCTCATGAAAATCAGCAGAAAACCTGGCAAACTTAACATCAGCATTGACGGAACTCCGCTGAAACAAGTCAGCGAGTTCAAGTATCTGATAATATCTTTTCGGAAGAAGGACGTCTCAACAGAGAAATTGAGACAAGAGTACAAAAGGCCATCCGCGTCAGCTACCATCTTGCCTCACTCCTCAAACATCCTAACATCCCCATTGAGACTAAAGCCAGGCTCATTAACTCTATCTTCATCCCCACCTTAATGTACCAATGCCTGACATGGACCTTGACCAAAAGTCTGCAACGTAAGACAACCACATGCGAGATGAGATGTCTAAGAAGAGCCGTCAACAAAACAGACGGGACATGATCAGAAACAACAGGATAAGAGAAATGATGGGAACAATACCTGTCCTCCATTACATTCAGAGGCAAACATTCAAGTAGTTTGGACGTATGACAAGTATGGCAACTCACTAGACTTGCCAGTAAAGCGTATTACAAAAAAATATTAGGGTAAAAGGCAAGAGGAAGACCAGGGGAGACATGGATCCAGGATGTGAAGAATACCCAGAAAACATACAACCCTTTAACCAGCCATGTTATCCAACTTTCTAAAGACAAAAGGTTCTCCTCCTCCTCCCCCCTCGACGCCCTAGTGGTACAAGACGACGGATAAAGAAAGCCCTCGTGAGATCAAACTTCGCTCACTCAATTTTTTTTCGAAAATCTTTCTTTTGCACCAAAAGATTCTTGATACCTGCTGTGAAATGTGTATAAACGGATTCAGTCCAGATTCAGATTACAAATGTTCCAAACAAAACACATTTTAAATTCTGCGTGAGCCTCGCTATGGACCAACCAAATGACATAAGTGATCTGGAGAACCTGGCAAACACGACATAGCGAGATTACAATAGAGCGCTAAAGACAACCTAAAGATAGCGAAGTTAGATTGGAGCAAACAAAACTCACTTGTTGCTCTGTTCTAACCTCGCTGACACGTCCTTATGTCTTGACATTAACAATGTTGGACAGGTTTTATTTTTATTCTCTCTTGCAAAATTAAAAAAATTCGACTTAACAAGGTTCCAACAGAGCGTCAGCGATGTGAAAAACAACACTTAATTAACCACAATTCACTAAGCCAGGAAACTCATACTTTAAAGAATCTCCAGTGAAAGTGTGTAATTAACAATCACAGAAATGAAAATATTTCACATGGCTTCCATAATATTCAACAAAATGGACAAGTCCTCAAAATGGTGAAGGGCGATTCTGAAGTTAAGTGTAGGGATATTGACACAATCAATGTCATTTTAAAGCTTGAAAGGGGGGGGGGGAGGGGGAGAAGACGAAAAACAAACCAAAGAAAAGCTTCGAAGTAGAATCAAACAGCCACAAAAAGGGATCAGTGACCTTTGAAACTGCCTAAAACATTACTACAAATGATATAGGGCCTATGGTTTATAAAAGGAAATCCTTTTTTGAATCTTTGCTTTAAATAAAAGTCAGAAAACTTTATTCTTGTTTTTACATAGGGCAGTTCCCAACAGGCTTTAAAGTAGATTGTACATCCCCCCCCCCCCAACCTATTAGGTAATTGAAACATTCAAGATGCAAAGAGACAGACAAAGCAATAAATCTCCCCCCCCCCCCCCAACTCCTGCGAGATACACTCATAAAAAAGTTATCCCTTTCCTTCTCCGCAGGTTTCACATGCGAGAGAAGCATGTTGGGTGTTAAGAGATGCAAAAAGTTTGAGCTATGTAAAAATCTCGGCGTTGCCTGTACTCCTGGCCTATCGAGTGAGTGCTGCACTGAACTAACGTGTCAGCGGAAGCCAGGAAGCATCCTAGGGCATGAGTGCCAACTCAACTGTAAGGGAAATAACGAGAGGTGCACGGCTGGCGTCATCGACTGCTGCTTCCCTTACAGGTGCAAGCAAATGGGGGCACTAACCGGAACTGTCTGTCATCTCTAAACATCAAAAGCACCAACAATCCTGACTGACATCAAGAAAACCCAGTAGGAGACCCTTGAAGAAAAAGAAAAAGATGGCAGATGAAAGCAACAATGCATTGCATCAGTTGCATGGGACAGGGTTTCCTGTTTAACAGAAAGCCTTAGATGGCCTATTGATCCGCTGAATAAAGAAAATTATTGTATAAATGACCAGATTTCTATGCCTTGAAGCTTGTTTGCTTATTACTCTCTTCTTTTCTATTATAAGAAAGGAGAAGAACCATGACACAATAATGGTCATTTAATGCAAGAGAAAGCCAAGAAAGACACACAAAAACCACTGGCTCCAACACTTGCACATTTACTTCTCTTCCCAAGCGTTTCACATATTTATCTAAACAGTTATGTCTTCCACTCAATTTTAGAATCCACTACTTTTATAGCCATGGGTACAGTTTCTAATCCAAAAAAGAATGTTAATCAGATATTTAGATATCAGTATTCATATTGTTTGAAATGAGTTCAAGTGCGGATGAAGTGTCCAACTTTTACAGTAAACAAACAAACTCCATCCTACAGTTGGTATCCGAGTCCTAAGACGTACATAATCAGTCCCCTAATGCATTACTTTTTTCCATGAAACCTGTCTCTCTGACAAAAGAGCAAAAATTGTACGTGTACCATGCAAGAGCCAATCTATCAGTATCAGCCTCTCCAGATCTACACTGTCCAGATCTACATTGCCGGGTACCATAAACTACATGCACCATCATGCACTAATGATTATATTATTATGACCCTGACCTTGCAATTTGTAAGCGAACAGCCTTGTGATTGGCTGCTCACATCCGATGGCTACACCTACATTGACTTAAACAACCTAGAAAAACAAACGAGTTTGATTTTTTAACGTCATAATCGGATTCAATCGTATTATTGTGTCAAAATAGTAGTTTTTGCCCCTCCAAGTCCAAGGAGAAAAAGGATGGTGAGCGATGAGGCCAAGAATATGAAAAGTCCTGCAGACGGTCAGTACTTTGCTCACGTGGAGATGTCTAGATGGTCTTTGGAAGAACTGTTATGATGGGGTTGTGCTGTGTTTGTGAACTAGAAAACGTGGGGAGTAGAGCGAGGCTCAGATGTTCCTGTAAATGGGGGCTCACTGGCTATACTGTTGAGTGAAAGAAGGCCCACATGTTTGGATTGCCAGACATGTCTGTCATGAGTTGTAGTGTTATATTACCACTTGAGACAAAAGGACTCACCCATCACTACAACAACCCCCTCCCCCTCCCCAAATAAAAACAAAAACAAATGGATGACATGGTTCAAAAGACTGGCCTCTTCGAAAGATGAAGCGATAAACAGTATGAAAGGTCAACTCTACTGACAAAGGTGTAGTTTGAGCAGATAAATACACTATCACTAACAAAAAACACTGTTACTGGCATGCAGGGGCGGTTGGAGCCGGTCACTTTTAGTCAGCTATAGTGGACAAGAGATTGGCTGCTGATAATAGTTCTTATTCACTTTCAAGTAAATCCAAATTAATTTTTATCAACATCAAAATAGCGCTTTCCCTATAAAAATACGCTCAAACAGACAATTAAGACTCGCCGATGTGTTGTCGCACCACAGAAACTCGTTCCTAAAACTCAGTTTATCTCGCTGGCTCACAACGTTGTTACGCTCAGCGGTGACGTCACACAACTCGGCGAAATAAGTAGTTGCCCTCAGAGAGTGAAAAGAGCCCGCATCAAGATCACCTTTGATGCCATTTTGGCTCTTCTGTTGCTTACAAAGGACGAGACTGTCTTTAACAATATATCTTATTATTTCGTCAGTAATATTCATCATTAAACCTGTCTCTAGTCACGTTCAGTTAATACGTAGGCTATATGTACCGTCGTGATGACTCAAATCTTTATAGCTAATTAAATTTTGAGACACCCATGGTTCTGTTTGGTGTTCTGTTCACCGCTTACTTCCTGCTACAACCTTACATGGCCCCCGGCGATTTTGTTAGGCCAGTCATTGTTATCAGGAATTTTAACGGAGGGGAGAGTTAGCTGTCAGTCTGGACGCCACAGCCCCTCCTCTCTCCTACCCCCCCCCCCAACCCCCCCCGCCTAGTTTAAAGGTTGGCACCTTCTCCATTCTTACCCCAGCCCGATTCTGAGATCTAAAAGTAGTATTTGACATAGAATTTGCGATTGGGAATTTTTGTGTGCTTGCTTTATTCAATGAGTACGTGTTAAACGTATTGTAGGCCTATTATTTCGGATCCTCCCTAGACTTGGTCTGCTTGGGACAGCGTCAGTGGCGTGGTATCAATTTGGTTCTCTGTTTCTACAGACTACTGTAAATCAGGTAGTTAACGTAATCATTATGTACATAATAATTGGTCTTCAAGCATGAAAATAGAGATTGGGGTCGTAACAAGAGCGCTTGGCTGGCTTCAAAATACAAGACCAAGAACTACCTATCTCATATTGTCACAGACTCCCAGAGCATCTTGCGAAGGGTTGAGAAAGGGCTGCTTCGGAGTGAAAGGATGAACCCAATACAACACTCATCACTTTCAGCCATCACATGGATATTCTGCCCTGGGCACTCAGGAGGGAAGGGCATTGAGGAGGCTGATTGGCTGGCGGGCAGTTCCGTGGTTGATGGTGAGGTGAAATTTGACAAAGGAGAAGTGTTGAAGACCCTGGAGGAAAAGTTGCTGGAGGAGGAAGACAAGGAGACAGCAGGATACCGCGCAATCATTAGGATGAGGGAAATGGGGATAGAGAGGGGAGAAGGAAGAAAGGAACCATTATCTGGAAAGGAAAGACGTCGCCATAATCCGACAGCCACCGGAACAATCAGTATGGATACCTTGCGGGCTTTGGTGCTGGGGGGAACTGAGCACTTATGGACCTGTCCGTTGAGCAATGACGTTGTTGTCCAGGACAGGTAATACAGGTAATACATAACAATTGTTAGTGGAAGGGGATCATGTTCCCAAAGGCCATACGTGTGTTTGTGTGTGTGTTGTTTTGTGAAAAGGGGGGGGGGCAAAGATACAGGTATAAAATGTGTCTCTGTGTGTGTATGTGTGTGGGAGGGCAGCTGGTGTATGTGTGTGTGGGGGGGGGGGGGGGGGGTTAGAGGAAGACCACGGGCATTGCAGGTTGAGGTAGGATATGGTAGGGGAGGGGGGGTGAGGAGATCAATATGAATGATAGCCGGTCAGTTTCACAAAAACATGAACCGCTACGGCTATCATGTATTGTTGGTACAAAAGAAAGACCCGCAGAACCAAGAGGCAAAGTAAATTTTTTTTTAATGAAACCTCCCAGCGATGGTCTACAACCACCCAACTGTGTACAAAGAGCTTTAGGATACATGCCTTTCCTGCACAAGATGAAGATGTAAAG